CTGTACATTAGCCTCACAGTGTGAATGAACTTGGTGCTGACTCAAGCACTCATTAGGTTATAAGTCAACCACTACCCTGCCACCTTTGGAGTAGACTCGAAACTCTCTTGAGGGGTTGTCCTCACGCTGTCGGGCCTGTTTTATTGGTACCATTCTCGAGAAAGAATGTTGTTCAAACCAGTTTTATTGGTTATAACAAATCCTACATTCCAGCACAAACGTACCTTTTAGCTGAAGGGCACAGGAGTGGTGACACATTATGAAACAAGTTGACAAGAGTGGACTCACCAATGAGCATCTAAATTACGAATAAGAGATAAGATTTATTGTGGCAAAAGACCACGCAAGTGATGAAGTATTTTAATCTGTGTACAAACACGGCCAATTTGCTTCGATCTTCACCACTAAGGGAAGTTACATCTGAAAACTCATGCATATTCAACGTTCATTTGCAAGTGTAGCCTTTCAAGCTCCCACAGGTAATTCTTCTACAAACTAATGAGAAGGGAATTTCACTCACCAATGTGACAAAATAACCCGTCTGGTGTATACAATAAGCGAAATGTTCAACTTGCCACATTTACACTTCTGGTAGACTTGCAAAACAATGCATATACAATGTTTATTGGTGTTTGGAGTCCACCCTTGTTATCGCTGTTAAGTTGCTTCTCAAACACCAGTTCTGAAAACAACCCTAGCTAGCAGCTTTATCTAAATTAACCAAACTATGCAAAACACAGCACATCTACCCACCGATCCCAAAACCATGGGTGTGCAGAATAGTGAGGTCAGTCAAATGATAAAACTGCTTAAATTGATGACAAAAGCATTGTTGAAGCCTAACCAATGTTTCAAAAAGCTACAGCTTACAGAACTAAACGTGAGTGCATTTGAAATCTCACAATCCCTTGTGGGCCTTGTGCTTTTTCCATGTGGTGTGGATTGATTTTTGTTAAAACGGAAGATCTAAGGACAGCTGTGGGTGAATCAACATTAACCCCTCCGTCACCCCTTCACAAAAGCAGTTGAGTTCAGTGGCATTGATGTGCAAACAGAAGTGTTTTTTTTTACTTTAGAGATAAGAAACTTCTGTTTACACATGAAACGTCCAGTCTTAACTAATTTACATTCTCAAAAAACACAGCCCTTGACAAAAAAGGTAAACCGAGGATGGTCCAAAGTATTGCTATGGGTTTTGTTTTGGGGGTTGTACCGTGTGTTGTTAAGCATGATATCCGACGTACTGGGAGCTTCTTCCGGAAAAGCAATGGAGCAGCTCACATTCTGCTGTTTAGCTTTATAAAATGCCCGGTGGCTGGTGTTCGATGTAGCCCATTCAACCTTGTTTATTTGCTTCGTACATTCAAACAAACTTTATGTTTGTACATCAACGCCACTGGACGCTACTCCCTATGAGGTGCGGCGATGCCTCACTTGCTGTACTTCCATGTAATCGTCGGACAATGCGCCAAACCACGCGGTACAACCCGAAAACACATCGGAGAGCTGTTCAGCACAACTCCAACGACGTACTTGGTGGCTGTCATTCGTACGATTTGTAACATTGCAATGAAACGCAAATACAAACTCCGCCACCACTTGTCTTCAGTCACGGATCCCTGCAAAAAGCTGCTATGTCACAAATCCACCCAAAGGAACTTTGAAAGGTCACTGTGCCTATACACGAGGGAGGTCTTGCCCAAGGGGGAAAGAGGCTATTCGATTTGCAAATGACGCACAGGTCTGGGATTAAAATAGACAGCTTTACGGGAACACTTCAGATGATCTTCAATTGCTTCCTTTAGGTCAAGGGTTTGTTTTGCATTTACGAAGGGCCCTTTGCCTGCAACGCTTGCCACTTGTTTATTGTACGTGTTGTGTATTGGTAGTTCAACGTACAATGGCTGGTAGGCCATACAGTTTTCTGGAAGCCAAATAAATCATTCATTAAAATTATTTATAGAAGAGTACACAGAAGTGTCGTCCAACAGTTCCTGCGACACGTGCTACGGGGGACACGCCTTTGTCAAACACTGTTAACCTCCCGGGAATGTAAGGGCAGACTCCAACATTGGTGGAGTTAATTTGAAAAAGTCAGACCATTTTTATGAGTAAACGGTCTGCGTGAAGCTTAGCGAATCCAAGGTGTGACCGACATGGTGGGGGTCACCTTACGTCACTTAAATTAGCTACTGAACAAAAGGGTGAGACGCACACATTCAGATGCACATGTTCTCACAGTGGGGAGGGATAACTCGTCCTTTTGTGTTGACGGTGATTTAATGAGGATAAAAATAGCTGCATCCTGCAACACCCCTCAACTATTTAAACACGCACACGTGGGAATGGTAAATTACCAATTAAGCAAAACAAAGGCTTCGCTAGAATTTTAAGCAGATTACAACAGGAATGGAAAAATGTCCTTCGAAGTATCAGCGTGGGAATGTCATTGCTGGAGCATTGACAATAACGACAATAGATTGTAATAGCAAAAACAACTCGTTAGTTCTAGATTTAAAGCTTTCGTGACTGCAAGGATCCATACTCTCTGGTTCTATTGGGTAAAGTCACGTAGGTGAAAAAATAAAATAACAAAAATCACGACGTTTCGGCCACAACACAAGCGGCCTTCATCTGGTGAAGGGACGAGACTGTCTGGAGGACACTCCAGGACACTCCAGCGCTGTCCTCCAGACAGTCTCGTCCCTTCACCTGATGAAGGCCGCTTGTGTTGTGGTCGAAACGTCGTGATTTTTGTTATTTTATTTTTTCACCTACGTGACTTTACCCAATAGAACCAAAGAGTACAACTCGTTAGTGTTCGTAGTAACGCAGTTCTCAGTTCAATTATGTTTAATAGGCTGGACGATACTGCATATGGAGTCATGAAATAATGTAAAATACTAACAAATGTTAAATTATAATTGGCGATTATTATAATTGACGAATATAAAGTGAAGAGGTAATTTCTGTTCAGAATGTGTGGGTAGTTGACTAACAATTCTAATTTAGTATCCACTATTCCTATACAAGTCTTATATTTTTGGATTATCAACCACAATACATTTTACACTAAGATCAACAGCAGTGGTGACACAAGGACAACAAATTAATTCATATTTGTAGGAATGCTATTTCTAAACACAATTGTGATTCGTGTGATAATGAAGAACGAAAGTGAACTAATATGCCGGATAATCAGCATTAACGTCTGCAAGTGTAAATACTGTACGTGTGATAACAACTTAACACAGTTCAAACTAATTATCAACGCTCGTAAACAACACGGCCTTAAATGAAAATATATAATCGGTGACGTTTCGGGCAATGGTCCTGCTTCAAAGCACATAACACAGTATGTAGAGCAATTCATATCGTTACGTTAGTAATGTAAAAAAATGACATTACACTGCAGTTATGTCAAAACTAATAAATATTCAGCCCACTGCTTAAGGCCCTCGTCACGCTGTGTAGTGCACGGGGCTTTGTCTGACCATACTTCGTCACACTGGCGAGTTGCAGGTTGATACAGGTAGGAACAACAACAGGTTCCACACTGCCCACCAGGGATTATTCGTCTGTCTGTCGTGCATATCCGGAATTCCATCCGCATAATTGGAGTTTCGGACACTAATTTCCAACACGGATCGCACGAATGCGCTGTTCCAACCAAGTTCCTACCTGCCCACTCCGAAGGAACGTGTTAAAGTGGGTTGCAGGTTGATCAAGTGGGTCGCAGATCCAGCTCAGACATCACTCGCGAGATGTTAACTACCTCGCCTGGTATACAGGAGGAGGTCGTGGGTTTGATCCCGACCCCTGCTGCTGTATATTTGGAGTTTGCGTGTCTCTTTCTCTCTCCCCGTGGTCGCGTGGATTTTTCTCCGGATCCTCCGGTTTTTCCCTCCACATTTAAAATCAACATCACGCGTTATTTGAACGCTTTACATTTCCACAGAAGCTACCTCGTTGAGCTACCATTCGTGGCCAGGTCGCTTCTGAAAACGAGCGATAGAGCTCAGTGGGCCTTACCTGGTAAAATAAACAAAAATAGTTTCTAAAATACATGGGTTTAGATTGCAGTGCGCTAACCATTGCGCCACCGCTCCACTTGTAATTATGTCCAATAGCGATACAATAATTGTGCATGGATGTTGTAAACCATGAAGTTGAGTGTCCACACGTGTTAGCATTACAATCGCTATTTTGATGTATTTTTATTACGGTAATTATCATCGTCATTATTATTATCAGCAGCAGCCGGTGTCTATCCACTGCTGGATGAAGGCCTGCCCAAGCCATCGGTCATCGTCGCTACCAATCCAAATAATCTGGATCCTTCTGCAAGACTGATCTTCATCGATCCCTTACCCCTTAAGCCAATGGAAATCAATACAGTAGTTGGTAACCGTAAAACTAGCAGTACGTATATGCACCCTGTAAGAGTAATTCACGCGTGGTTGTTCAAACGCCACACGTGTAGATATAAACACAATACGTAGGCGCGTTATTATTGTTATTCTGAGGCCACGGTTAATGATGGTAAACCTTGTCGCCTGCACGATAATTAATAAATCACGGACATTCATTCTCGTACCCAAACGCTGATGAATGTGGGATAACACGCTCGTTAATGGTAACGATGATAACGCGAGCAAATTACGGACATCGAGATAATGGTTCGTGAACTTTGATGGTAACGGTCGGCATGGAAATGTTGATGGTAAAGAAATGTAAATTACGGACGATAACGATCCTCAGAAGGCAATGGTAACGATACCAGGTGGTGATGATGATGATAATGAGGGTAACTGGCTGTTGACGATGTTGGCCAAAGTCGTGGCAGTAAATGTTGGCAACAAAGCCAATGGTAACGATGGTAACTTAGGTGATGAAACCGATGGTCGCGATTATCAACATAGGTAACGGTACCGACCCCGTTGATGGTAACAACGCTAACTCGGTCAACGTAGTAACGACGTCGTGCGCAGTGCTGGTACCCGCGGTAACGTTGACAACCTCTGCGACGGTATCCACGGCAACCCAGGCGCTGGTAACGATGGTAACGATGGTAACCGCGGTGGTAACCACGGAAACGCCGCTCACCGGGCTCAGTCGCGATCCCTCACTGCGGTGCCGTTTCCACTCCTCCTGGGCCCCGCGGCATCGCCCGCTAGCCCGCTCGCTCGCTCCCAACACCCGGCAAAACAATTACACGATCAATCTGCCATTATCGCCGCCTCGCCGTAGCGAAAACAACGGACTCGCCAGTAATCAAGGTGGCGATGTGATTGCTGCTGCTGCTGATGATGATAGAACTCGCGACGACGAGGAGGAGGATTCGGTTGCGGCGTTAATAATAATTTAGCACGCGCGGCGGAGGAGGAGGAGGAGATCAGCCGCACAGGTAACAACCCCGCGCGCATGCGCACTGAGGGGGCAGGGCCGATCACCTCTGTCTGTGGGCGGGCTTCTATTCGGGGTGGGGGCGGGCGGGGGTGTGGCGCAGACAGAAGCTTGTTGTTTATATTTTTTTTCATTATTTATTTTTTTATGCTCACGTTGCAACACACTGTTCTTTTATGTATTGAGATATAAAATAAACACACGTGTTATTTTGGGCGTTATTGCGGGATTTGTTTTCATGCGGAATAAAGACGTATTGATGTGGCACCGCTTGTTACTTGGCCCGAGGCATTTCAACTGAAGCCATGCGCACAGGCATCAGAGAAAGATGAAGATCACTTTAATAACAAACATTAATACCGCCGCATAAAATACAACGTCGTGGGTTTTTTTTTTTCTTACACATCCCATCAGCCACAGGACCTTCTGGGAGTGCATTATATCAGCAGCATTGGTTTTATACATTTAAACTCTTAGAAACACGCGTTTAGGTAATTTGGCTCCTATAAGTGTCCACGTGATGAGCCACTTCGTTGAGCTATCATTTGTGGCCAGGTCGCTTCTGAAAGAGAAGCTTATTTCTCAGTGGGCTTTACCTGGTAAAATAAAAAAAATAGTTTATTTTCAATATTAATTATTTTGTGTGTGTGATTTGCTAACCTTTCCTCTACTGTGCACTCCTCTCGTGTTTTGTAATGTTTGTTGTTGCAACTTTATGACTCGCCCCTAGTGGACGTCTGTGAAAAAGAGCTTTATAGCTCATCGTATTCCTCTACTATAAATAAAGATGATCAGCTGAGCCAGGCTTCAATAGACCAATGCTGGTGAGGTGTCACGTGTATATAGGCCAGGACCTTTCTGTGTTCGTAATGCGTCCTAGTTCGACGCACAACTGTATGATACGTACATGCGGCACAGCTACGTTATGGATAGGACAAATGGCATGGCAACATGGCCTCTTCACTTGTTGTAGACATTTAATGGATTCGAATCGGTTCAAATCCATTGACCGCTGTGGGTGATACTGCAGATGTAATCGGCGTAGCAATCATCGTCCTTTACAAATGCCCCATATATTGATGAGACTATCGTGGTCTCTTGAGTTCTCACGAAACGTCGTAGTTTTTTTTGGTATTTTTCTTTGAACCTATTTCCGTGACTTTATCGAAAGACCCAAATAATATGAATTCCTGCAGTCACGAAAGCTTTAAATCAAGATTTAATAATAATTGTATTGTAGCTAACTTAAAATTTGGCTTCTTCGAGTGACTCAGAGGTCAGAGTGCTGAGCTAGCACGACTAAGATCCTGGATTCAAATCGAGGAAGATCCATGCCATTCAACTAGGATATTCAAGTCTAGAGAGTTGATGGTCTCAGCTGGTCACCAATAACTGCACACACACAAAAACTCACGTTAAATTAGCATTTCATTTGGATAAATTCAAGGTCTTAAATATGAAGGTATAAATGTGCTGCTATAGATTTATATATATAAATTCCAGCGCTGAAGGGATTCAATAGGTAGCTCTGTGATATCTACATCCGTCGGCCGGTCTCTAACGTGAATGGTCACACTGCTCTGAAAAAGATCAAAGTGGATTCTGACATGACACCGAAGCACAATTAGGATAACATTGGAGGGATATGACAAAAAAAAGCATTAAAATTATCTTAATCAGGTACGTGTACTTCACCACGTCATGAATAAAAGTCCGTTTCACATTTCACTCGTTACTGATATCAGTCATGGTCGGGAATTTAACTCAGATGTATGTACGTATATTGAACTTCTTTCGCGCCATACATAGCCAACCGTGCTTATCGGAGGTGCTGGGGAAGGACAACAAACTGAATACAATAAGAAGTTCTAAAGAAACGAGTTTCCATTTGTGTGCTCATGAGAAGGCATAATGATGGATCGATAATCCATTTGCAAGGGATGGCGAGAGGCAAGTGCACCAACTCAAATAGCACACTTCTGATTTAAAGCTTTCGTAACTGCAGGGATTCATATTCTTGGTTCTTTCGGTAAAGTCACGTAGAAGGGAAACAATAAAATAATAAAAATATAAAACAATTAAATCTCACGACGTTTCGACTGCAAAATTTGAAAAAAGTTGCGGGTTTTTTTAACGTAAAAAAAACGCCGCCACTTTTTTCAAATTTTCTTGCTGTGGTTTTCACACCTGATGATGATTGCTTGTGTTGCAGTCGACACGTCGTGATAATTTTATTGTTTAATATTTTTATTATTTTATTGTTTCCCTTCTACGTGACTTTACCGAAAGAACCAAGAATATAACACCCTTCTGTTTAGCCATTTACTATTGGACACTACCGTACGTACACCGTCTCAAGTCATTGCCATCGCCTCTTATAATGAACACTCAATAGAGTGTTCATTTAATATAACTCTTCGGTGTATGCTGAACTTATTTCGCAACGTAACTCCAGTGGCTTCCTCATATCGGAAGGAAAAGCGTTCTGGCTGGCCGCAGAAGCGCATCTGAAAGCGCGTGATGCCGTGACCGTCTTTGTTCGATGGCTCAGCCGAGCGCCGCTGGTAGGATGACTGGAGTTTGTGTGATGATTTGTGCTCCCTGACGAGATCAGCAAAGGTTAAAGGGGAGGGAAGGGCGCTGTGGTTAGCGCCCTTCACTCTGTGGCGAAGCATTACGTGAACTGGCTCTGGGGGCCTCTCCATCAGCAACCTGCACTGCCCAGCGTGGTGAAGTTCCATCAAACAAACTCTAAACGACCAGCAAAGGCATGGGGAGACGTTCATCCAGCGACGTGCGAATTCAAATCCTGTGTTAGAGCTGGAACTGCAATGGAGGTCTCGGTGTCTTGGCCGACTGGTCTTCAGATAATGTCGGCTTTTAGATTGATATAGTCTTACGAGTACTGAAAACGCAACACATTTTTCAATAACACTGCGTGTCTTAAAAGCAGAAAATATATAATAGCCGACGTTTGTATGATAGGTGACGATTGAGTAATGGTCGTTTATAGCAAATAAATGCTGCAAACGTCGCCCCTCATCTATATATGTTTTACTTTTGAGGCCACAATGTTACTGACGAAGGCGTTACGTGTTTTGTTGTTGCGCTTGTGCAGCACTGTAAACGCAGCATCACCACACACTTTGTCTAGAGCTATTGGGCAGGGTGGGTAGGGCTGGGTTCATCTTTCGAGCACAGCACTGTTAGCAGCAGTGATGAATCTATGGTGGGGGGGGGGGGTTTGGGGGGGGTATGCCCGACCCCCCTAATAAACGACACGTGCCTCCTATTCAGCGGCGACTCCTTGGTGTACGTTGGGGTGGAAAATAATAATAATAATAAAATGTGTTTTAGTCCATCTGCCGATTTTGGCTTCCCAGATCGATATTCGTTTAAGCATGCAAATTCCAGACCAGGTTCGACGTTTTGGATCTCATCAGCAGGGTCAGGTCCTTTTCCAACAAATGCTGCTTGATTTACATGATGCTATTGGCGATAGCGCTCCTTACAGACGACGGTTCCCCCCCCCCCCCCCCCCCCCCGTTCAATGCAACAACAAAAAAAAAGCAACGCCGCACACAAACTGACGAGCGACGCGTCCGTTTGCCGTAGAGCGAAGGAGCACTCCGGGCACTGCTCCAGAGTTGCTTTGGGCGCACGCGGGCCGTGGTCCATGCGCACAGGCACCTGCTGACCGCCGTGATGCAACGCAGCTGTGTGGCGCGCGCTGACGTCACGGTGTGTACACCTGACATCAGGGATGGAGGAGGCATCATCATCGTCCAGTGACTCACGTTGTTATTACGACCTGCCCAACTGCGTGCCTGTGAATGCCGTAGCAGTGCTATTTTGAGCAATCTCTGGGCCTGATCGCACGGAATGCGTCTAGATTTTGGTGTTATAATTTATTTATGTAGTTTATTGTAAAAAATTCGGTCACAGTCCCTATGATCACTGTTACATTGGATTTATGGCTTTTATTTTGGTGATTTCGAAAAGTTTTTTTTGTTTTGGCCATGTTTTTGTTTATTGTAGTACGGAGTTAGACTGATGGCCTTAATCTTAGTTGTCTTGTGGTTGTTGTTATTTGACTTCCATCCCACTGGGATTTTTGCACACAGCGTTGGTGTACGGTGCTATTTCAGGAATATTTTGATATTTTTTTCCTGGATTTTCTGTTTGCACAGTCACATAATCACTTTAAGATGTTTTCTTGTTCATGTTTTTTGTTTGTTGCGGTTGCACCCGATTCAAGAGCCGAATGGCTCACAGGGCTATACCAAATAAATGAACTATGAACTATCAGGGCTCGGCGGCTAAGCGAAGCAGGCTCGAGCCTTGATAACTTGTTGGCTATGTTGTGGGCAGCAGAGGGTAGCTGCAGCAAAACACTGCTTCTGTGCTGTACCTCGACGTCAGCGTTCTTCTTTGCAAGGCCCGCGGGCCACAGGCGGCCGCTGGTGTCCTCTAGTGCGGCCCCTGACGTGCGGTCCCCCGACAATACACAACACGTGACAACACTCCTGCAGGCGGTGTGGCGGCCCTCACGCTCTGAACAAATGTAAGAACACCGCTCTATATAATCCTGCGCCCATGCTCCCTGCCTTCGACCTCCATTGACCAACTTGGTGAAGTATGGTCAGACAACCCTCACGAGCCACATGACGTTGGGAGGCTCCCATCCAACCGCAGATTGACAACATGATGCTCTTGTGCATTGAGCTGCAGGTTAATGCCCTTACAGGTTGAGATATGGTGACTTCCTACTCACTCGACTCTGTTCACGCTCCACAATGAGTGTGTGCCTCCAAAACTCTGACATCACACTGACTGGGAGCTTGCAAATCCTCGGAAATTGTCATTGATACTGAGCTCTCATTTTCTAACCACACAAAGCAAATATTAGGAAGCCACTGGAGCTATGCACTTTAATTCTAGATTGAACCTTGCTTTTTTTAAATATATAACTGTTTACTTGTGTTTAGTTTGTTGTCCTTCCCTCACACCTCTGATTAGCACGTTTGGCTATGTACGGTGCAAAATAAGTTCAACATACACA